AATTACGTGGGGCGGGGCAGCAGATCTTAGCTAGTGAACAGCATGTACCTTCAGTTGTAAAGCTAAGGCTTTTAATAAACTTCAAGATGCATGTTAGAATTACAATCACTTGTGTTACTAAGATCTTATCTGGAATTGGTTTAAATTCAACATTGCTGGAATCTGGTAGGAATCAGAGAAAAACTATTAAGACTAAATACTAATTTCCTCTTTGGGAACAACAGAACTGGAAAACTGGTAGGAAGAGGACTGAAAAAGAATCCTGGGTTTAGTAACTTTCAAGGCTTTTTGAAGTAGCTGAACTGGTTCCTGCGAAATAAATTTTGTTTATTCCATTTATTTTTCATGTTCGTTTCTGTTCCCTTGAGGCAAAGAGAAAAAAGATAAATCTTTGTTGCAAATTGGATGTAGTTCCTGTAAATGAATTACAATTGCAGTTTTTTAAGACAAGGCAGGTAATAGAAACTTGGCAAAATGTGCAGATATCTTTTTAAAAGAGTGAAGGAAATTCGTAGAAGTCAAAAGCTCCAGAAGTCTCTGGCAGAAGTTCTTCCTGTAGAGGTTAAACCTAAATTACAACAAATTTGTAAAAATGCAGGTCTCGGTCTCTTCCTACGACTCTTGAGATAGGATGTCTAAGTAGTATTTTAGAAGACTATAGCAGTGGCCAACAGTTAAATGTAAGTACTCCCCTGTGGCTTTTAGATCTGAATCTTATGCAATTATGGGGAAAATGGAACATGACAAAACAGGAATTGGGAGAAATTGAGAAAAATAAAGGGAAGTTGCAAAATGAGAACCAAAGATTACAGAGAGAACTTTACCAATACATAATTCAAAACGTTAATTTGGCTAAAGGAGGAAAGGATTAGAAGAATGTTAGAAGCGGTGTAGGAAAAGCATGGGAATATAAAAACTCAATTGCTAAAGGAAAAACATGGGCCTCAGATTTGGAAGAGGCTGGTGGAGTGATAATATGGCCATTGAAACACAAGCATGTTCTCCAGTGAGGTTTATTCTATGTATGTGGTTCTAATCAAAAGCCTGGAAGATATCTTAAAAACCAGAAAGTCAATTTATTCAGTTGTAGGACTGTTCCCCTTTAGATTCTAATGTGGTAGAATAGCAATATTGTAAAGAATTGGACGCTCCAAAGAAGAACAATGCCTAGTTATATATCTTCGGCCATAATATACTTTGCCCCTGTAGGTCTGACATCTTGGATTCTTACTGGCAGTTTTGTGTTATCCTTGCCCAAAGCAGTAGGTTAAAAATGGAAGCTCCTTGGATTTTCATTGACTCAACTCTGCACATTTAGGAACAATCGTGCAATAGTAATTGCAGCAGATTAAAGATATTGATATCCAGTAAGTTCTGGCATCTCTTTCCAAGGATATACTCCTGACCAACTTGTTCACCCTCCTTAGACCTACTAGATCCCTAAATCAAATTACAATCCCTTAATATAGGAGTGATTCTCCTCGCCTTAATTTGATGCCCATGCTACTGCAGTCTTAGAAGGGAGATTCAAAGGTAACCCATTTGGTTTTGCCTATGTGGCAAAGGGGTTATTATGTTGCCTGTTTTATGCTGGCATATGTTCAGCATTGATAACTCCACATTTAAGCACATTTCCTGGTTATTCCAATCAATTGAACTTATAGATATCTAAGAGTAAAAACTCTGTTATCCTAAATATAACTAAATTCTGCTACATCGAATGCAAAATGTGCAGTTGACTGATTAATGAGCCCAGTGATTTTACAATTTATTCTTTTTTTTAATACAACTTTTTTTTTTTTTTTGCTATTGAGTTTTGTTCTGTATTGGTCTTCGACCACAGTAAAGATACTTGTTGAGAAGGAGAACAAACTATTACAGCTTGCTTTACCACTCTTTACAGGATTTATGAACAAATTTATGAAGTTGGATGTCACATTGAGTTTTGGGAAAGCATGTAACATGTGATGAGATACAACCACCAATAGTTACCACTTACTCTACTGCTATTAAAACACATATAGTAAGAAGAAGTCAGACACAAAATAAGGAGTAATAGTTCAGGTGAACTCTGAATACAAGAACTATTACAGAAAGTATTTCTACAAGATTAGAAAGAGCAGATCCTTTGGACTCTGACCATCTTTTCAATTGGGCAGCTGCTGTTTGGGGCAAAAGCACTCTAACTTCAGGATGTGATTGACATGATTTGGATTTGTGTGCCAAGAAATGGAAAAATTCTGAAAGCAGAACTAAAACCAATGAGGGAGGAATGGAAAGAACAAGGAAAAGAAGGCAATTGGAAAGTTTTCCAATGAATGAAAACTTATTTCACTGCTCAATTGATTAAAAAAAATGTTTTTTTAGTTAGTAGCAGAATATATTTTTATATATCCAAGTAGCTAGCCTTACATCAGATAACATTATTCTTCGATAGAATAGCCCAGTTTTGGATGATGATAAAGAATTATGGCTTAACTATTTAAACAAGCTTTGAAAGTTGGCATTATTTTTGATAAGCATTGTTATGTATCAGTGAAAATCAATATATAGTAACTGATAGCAGTCTTATATTTCCCTTTCCTGATATATTGCAGATTTGTTGTCATTTTCATTTCTAGTTTTTGTTTATATCAAAGGATTTTGATTGGACTGAAAAGTGCAGTCCAATTTAGAGAAGAAGATAAAGTTTAATATATGGCAGGAAGAAAAGAAGTGAGCAAATTTATGACTTGAATATTGGCAGGAGAATCTAGATACAAGAAATCCATTTAAGTGGCATGTAATCAAAGAAATTAGTAAGGTTTTATCCTGGCAAAAACACAATATTTCAGTTTTAACTAGTTGGTCTAAGGCATAGCCAGCCTACTAGGTGGCATATCTTCCAATTTTGGCAGATCTTGCAAAGCTAAGCAGAGTCAGACCTGGGCAGAATATAGATGAAAGACCACTAGGAAATCCCAGGGCTTTAAGCCATAACAGTTACAGTTACGCCCTGGTCATCTCCTGAATGGATTATTGTAACACGCTTTACATGGGGCTGCACTTGAAGAGTATCCAGAAGCTTCATCTGGTGCGAAATGCAGTGGCACGGGCAGTTATGTGTCCCCTAAGAGGACACATGTCACACCTCTGCTCTGTGAGCTGCATTGGTGGTCAGTTCACTTCCAGGTCCAATTCAGGGTGCTGGCTTTTTACCTTTAAAGCCCTATGTGGCATGGGGCCAGGTTATTTGAGGGACCGCCTCCTCCCAATTACATCTACCCATCCATCAGATCTGGCATGTTGCAGGTCCTGTCTGCTGAGGAGTTCCATTAGCAACCAATGAAATTTGGGAGTGACATCAGAAATTCCTGGGCCAACCAGATCATGAGATGTCATAGGAGAGATACAGGGGCCTGTAAAAATACTTCCCCAAACCAAACTAATGCATAATTTGGACAACCTCCTGGACTCACAGCTCCTGCTCAAATAGTAAGTGGCAGCTCTGGCCAAAAGGGCTTTTGTACAGATCCGTCTGGTGTGCCAGTTGCACCCTTTCCTGGACCAGGAGTCCCTTCTCACAGTCACTGACACCTTAGTCAATAAGGCTAAAACAAATTTGAATAAATAAATTCAAGGTGCTGGTTACTACTTTTTATATTGCACATCCTGGCTATCTCAGAGAGCTGCTTTTCTCTCATTGTTTCTTCTTCACTTTGCATGATGCAATTATATAATTCACATAATTTACAGGATGACATCATCACACATGCAATGTCATTTTAAAGTAATTGTAGCCTCTTTCAGATATTTTTGCTCTGAAGCAGACTGGACTGAGAGTCACCTACCTAGAATAATGCAGGGAGTTTGTTAATGGCTGAGTGTGGACTTGAATCTGGATTTCTTCAGTCCTAGTCCATCACCTTAACAACTTTCTCATATCCCAGAAACTACTTTGGCAAACTTACCCATATTTATGCTCCACACTTGGAGTGGATTATAAGTAAAATATACACTATTATAGAGCTAGTGGATTCTACAGAATTATAACAGTCACACACTTTGACAACAATAGCAAAGAATCAGATCTAATATATCAAATACATTATACTGTAATTCAAAGACAGAGTTCTGTGAGTATTGTAAAAACTGAATTCAAATAAAATGCAACAGTTATAAGAGTGAGGGCTGAAAAAAAGACCATTACTCACAATAGACACTGTAAAAAAAATAGCAATTTTCACAAACTCCATTCAGAATGTATTCAGTTTTCTTATGAGAATGAGTTTCCAAACACAGCACTGAAAACATGAAGCAATTTCTGCTGTTATTTTCTTTTCCAAGTCCAAACTGCCAAGTGCTATCCTTGCTGTTAGAGAGGATGCTGCACATGCAATAGATATGAGTAAGGCAAGTAACCTAGTTTGTGCAGTCTCTAGCTTATTAAAAAGCATTATGCCCAAAGCCATGATGGGCAGCAGAGATCATTGTCTATCAAATGGCAGCCATAGCATATGGAAGATCGTAACTTGGAAAGTAAAGCTAAAAATACATTGAATAAATATCTCATTCTTAATTTTTCATGCAGTAACCTTGGCCATTCTTACATATTCTGTAAGAGAAGAAGTGCTGGGGAAACAACTTCAGGAAATAGTCATGAAGTAATGCTGAAACCTAGCCAAATTCTGCAGTGGGATATCTAGTTAAAAACTCCTCTCCAATCGATTACAGCTTGAGATAAAGCTTTTGGTAACCTCTGAACTTCTTGTCAAAAAGCTAAAGGAAAAAAGATTATTTAGAAAAAATTATACTTCCCCCCAATACACAAAATATAATGCAAGACAAACAACAACATACCACAACGAGGGTGGCATTTCAATACCAATTTCCAAGATTTCTAATGAACCCTTTCTACCTACAGAGAAACATGATCTTAATGAATTGTCCATTGGTTATGTAACTATTTTAAATCTCTCTCTTTCTCTCTCCCTCCTTCCCTCCCCCCCCCTTTTCCTCAGCTGACATTGCCAACATTTCCTGTTGTTGTGAAGATTGGACATGCTCATTCAGGCATGGGAAAGGTAATCATGTTTTATTTATGTATCTTGGGGAAAGATAACAGATTACTTTTTAGAAGTTTGTTCGGTAAATATTGTTCATTTCAAACTCTAACAAAAGAGATTAAAAATTCAGAACAATAATTATGGAATATTTTGAAGCATGTTTCATGGTGTCTGTCACTTTATATTTACTTATTTTTAGGTGAGTCTCTTGAGCATAGGTTTGTAAAACTCTCTTTTAAATCAAATCATTTTGAGTTGAAAGACACTTCAAAGAGTAAAAATATTCATATGACTAAAATAGAAAAATTGCTTGTTTCAGAAATAGAAAGATTTCATATAGTTCGTGTTAGTTATATAATAGTCCCAGCCTATTGATTTTACTTTTGGGCAAATTTCTCACAACTGTTTTTCAGGATTATTGTATTTATGGAATATCATGAACTATCCTACATACCTCAGGATTTGTAGGAAAGTCTTAGTTTTTGGTAGAACGTTTAATCTGTCTGAAAACTTATATGTAACAGACTTTTCCAACCTGTTGGTCCCCAGATACACTGGATTGCATTGTATTATAGCCCTCATCACTCCCTCAAAACAATCAGTTTCTGACTATAGATTATGCGGTTTGTAGCACAACAAATGTGAAAGTTGGAGGAGACTGATACAGAGAGATATTACTAATAGTTAAGAATGACTGGTAATGTCTTTGTCTGAGAAATCTATTATGCTTAGAAATTCAGTGTCCATTTTTTCCAGAAATTTAATCCTTGTTTATTCTTTTTTCTTTTTCTTTTTTGTTTCCATGCGATGAATACTTGTGGATGTTGAAAACAGGTCAAGGTAGACAACCATTATGATTTTCAGGATATAGCCAGTGTGGTAGCACTTACCCAGACCTATGCTACCACTGAGCCCTACATAGACTCCAAATATGACATCAGGATCCAAAAGATTGGAAACAACTATAAAGCTTACATGTGAGCAAATAGATTCTGGGGTTGTGTGGTATTGTTGTTCTTCCATACTGAGATTGAATGAACATTATTCCCTCTGTTTTGGGAAAGGTAGGTAATGTGTTCTCTTTAGCAGTACTGTCAATCATCAATTCTAATATGGATTAAATTATTCAGAAATATGAACTGAATCTTTCCTTTTTCAACCATATGTATTCTAAATACATTCTATTCTAGAGTGAGAACAAGAGGCATTCTGCACAAATATGAAAGAGTTATTCCCCTGGGAAATGTTATAAAATAATTTTCAATATTTTATTTATGTATTCTGTATTTATCAAATTTATGTTGTAGTTAATTTAAAAAATCCAAATGAACTTCAGTAACATTCAACTGAGAAAATAATGTAGCTGTAAAGCAATTATAAAACAATCAAATAAATACAGTATAGATATGATATAAATGCATAAGTGTCATCGTAAAAATATGGAAATAAGAAATAAAAACTACAGTTGGAGACACTAAGTAGGTTTATTCTCCAAAAGAGTAGACTGTGGGCATGATAGCTGTCATTGACTATCTGGAATGTGCCATGTGGAGAATGGAGCAGAATTGTTCAGTGTTGCTCCAGAGAGCAAGATAAGAAACAATAAGTATACATTCCAAGGAAGTAGATTTCCATCGGATATCAGGGAAAAAATCACAATGTTACCTGCAGCAGTAGGACAGACTCCCATGAGAGATGGCAGACTCACCAGTGGAGGTGTTTAAAAGGCTAGATGACCACCTGTGAACAAAGCTATAGTAATGGATATCTACATTGAGCAGAGGGCTGTACTAGATGATCTCTAAGGTCCCTTCCAAGCCTTACATTTTGTGATATTATGAAGAAAGTTTAAGCTGTCAAAATATGTTCATTTTTTCTTAAAACAGGCCCAAGAGGCAGATTGAACTGTGAGTGGCAGGGAATTGCCAAACATTGGAACCACCAAGGACACCCTCGTCCTAGTGAATTTTATGCAGGCCTCCTTCTGAGACAAAGTATGCAGCAGGTTAGGGTTAACCCTAGGGTTAACCTCCCTTGCCAGCTCTTTGGTGAGGGAGACCCCTCACTTCATTCCATCTGGTCTGTCTCATTATTATTATCATCTTAAAGGGGAAAAGAACCAATTCTTAGTAAAAATGTTCAAAAGTTTCCTCACCCGGTTGCCTGCAAAATATTTAGTACTACTTTGGATAAATAGGCAAGTAGATTCATATGTATTGTGTCATAGGTGTTTCTGGACCACAAGATTTGATACAGGACATACAAACCTCAGATAGCACTTGCGAACTTTTTAAGCAAACAGCTTAAAAGCAAAATAGATTTCTATTCCTTTGCAAGAGTTACTTACAACTAGAGAAGCCCAAAGTTTTCTCTCTGCTCCTTGCACCCATCTGACTGATAAGAAGGAGAGTTAAGACAGGAGTTATGATTGAAAGCTTGAGTTATTTTCAATGGATAAAGCACTCTAAAATAAAGCATTATTTGTTAAATATGTGGAGCTTCCTGCTTCAGGCCAAGTCTGCCTTGCTTATGTGTGAAGCCTGGTACGGTAGCTAGTTTGAAATACTGTAGTGCTGTTTCCATGTTCCCTTCCTACTTTCTTCTTAGAATTAAGGAGAGGTTTAATGGCATGCATTCTCTCTCTCTTTGGCTGTCATTGGGTGTCTGGCTGGTAGAACTTGGTGTTTTCCATCTTGGCCTTCCATCTACTCCAGAGGGTAGATTTGTCCCTTTTCACAGCACCTCCTCTGCTTCAGCACTCTTCTCCAGATTTTGCCCAGCACCGGTTCAGGAGACTTCAGATTCCCTTTGACCCAAGCATTCCTTCAACAATGCAACACTGCCTAGTCCCTCTTAGGATCAACCATCATTACTCTTTACTAAAAGCAATAATGTTCAGTGTTGCCATCTAGTTCCCTCATGGGTTGTCAGCCATCACACCACGTCAGTTCTCTCCCAAATGTACTCCTTTCCAGCTCTTTATTTTTTAAGTCTCACAGTCCAGCTAAGCAACCACCCTTTCTCCTACAGGTAGTCCTTGGGTTATGACTTCATAAGTCATAGTCTTCAATAGTCCTCAATTGGGACCAGGAACTCCATCACTAAGCAACACAGTCATAAAGCACAATGTCACATGACTGCATCACTTAGTGATGGCAATTCTGGCAGACCCAGTTGTTGGACTGTGCAGGTCGTTCAGCGAGGACTTCATATAATCGCAACTTCTGACTTCCTGCTCGCTTCTTCATTGGCTTTGCTTGTGGGAAGCTGGCAGGGAACATCAGAAATCATGATCACATGACTGCAGAATGCTGTGACGGCTGAAACTCCAAGGAGCCGTCGTAAGTCCCCCTTGTTCAGTGCTGTTGTAACTTTGGTCATTGAACAAATGGTCGTAACCCACGGACTACCTGTATAAGAAAAAAATCCTATGAAAAACTGTTATCTCTCTAATCTCAGATTTCCACTTACCAAATTAAAACAAAATATTTAAGTGCTTGTGTGGCTGTTCCTAAGAAGATATGGACTCTTGCAGGCTGTCATGTGTTGATTTTAAAGCATACCATATTGCACTCTTCCACTCTTAATGTTATAATGAGTGTGGTGCTTATGTGATTCATGGGTAGGTTGTTCATACTTATTATCACAGTGTGAGTTATAGTTGAGTTAAAGAAAGTAAGAGAAAAGATTAGGGAAGTCCTTAACCCCACATTTCTTGGCTCCCTTCAATTTTAGCAGATTAAGATCTTTAGCCTTCTATTAACTAGTTAAGAGGCTTATTACAATTTTTAAGGAGGCCAAGAATTTCTACCCACCTTTGTAACTGAACTCTGGCATGGAGTACATGAACTGTGCAAAATGAGAAACAGAAAGGAAAGAGTAACAAAAGAACAGATTTGTTTTCTTTCAAAGAAATAATCAATAGATGTGTATCCATTTGGCTTTTTCAAAATAATCTGATTTGAAATTAAAATGTAAAATCTTGAAACTGCTTGGCCTAGGGCCTTGAAAGAAATATGCATTATATAGATTGTTATATCAATGTTCACCAGACCCAAATATAAAATTCTGCAAGAATATGCAGAACTCATTGCTAAGTGAAAAAGAAATGTGTCTATAAACTGCTTTATGCAGAGTGAGATTTCTTAATAATAAATATATTACAAAATGATTCAGTAAAGTTTTTCATTATGATCTCTGTACATCACACATATGACTCTAATTCTGAGCACTTCTACTTCTCTGAAGATATTCACAGGTGCACAGTTTGCCACCTGCATCTTGTAGAAATCCTTTGCCTCTTTCCTCCCACTCACTGATTTTAAGCTTTCAGACTCTGAGTCCAAAAATAATCAATCCCCAATTATTAGGCTTACTCCTAAGGAGGCTGGTGTTCTTCCTTTAATATGTCCTTCCACTGAAAAATATTCCTCAGCTGTAGAAGTTTCCATCAGAGGTGCAGGGGCAGAATCTATATGTGAATCAGAGGTGTGGGGGCAGAATCAACACAAATGACCACTCAAACAACCACAGCTGCAGCCCAGCTTCTTCCCTGTTTTGTTCAATGCAACAATATTTTATACTTAGTTACTACAATATAAACATTTCTAAAGATGTGTTTTGAAGATATTTCATGCATATATCTACTGAATAACATTTATGTATATTGAATAATCTCAAACATACAGTAGTTATATTAGAAATTAGTTATATACAATTTTTTTTCTCCTAAACTAAGCATTCTGTATGGCACTCAGATAATTGTTAAATTGCAAGATATTGTCAGGTTCTGTCAGGCCTAGCCCAAGGAACTCCAGGAGATCAAGCATAATCAATCCAGCAAGGTTTATTAGCTACAACCCCTTAACAAGAATCTTCCCA